GTCACAGATAGGGCACCGGTGGATGGCTTTAACCAGCCAGTGGAGGTGGACTTTCTCATCTGCTCCCCACCGTCCTCAGTGCCGCTCTGCCTTCCTCTGCTCCTCTCTGTCTCAGGAGTGGTCACATTCCTCTTCCCAAATAGGATTATGCCCACAGGTTAGGACCCACAAGTCCGGGGAGCACATGAGCCAGCGTCTAACGGTCTCCCTGCCCCCTGTCCCTCGCCTGGTCTCAGTTGCCCAGTTTCCTGCCTGGGAGGCTTCTTGATGGCCCTGGCTTCTCCTGGCCACTTTGAGAGGAGGCCTGTGACCCTTCCACGTCATGGCCTTGACGGCACTGCCCCTTCACGCAGCCCCCAGAGAGACTGACTATACACTGTGTGACTCTTCTGCACCTTAGGCATTTTTGTATGATTATAGACTTTATGTGATTTCATATCTGAGGAGCCTGGAGGTGCAGTGGTTACATGTCAGGCTGCTGACCATAAGGTCAGCTGTTGCTGACCCAGGGCCTCCTACTCCTGCAAAGAGCTACAGCCTCGGAAACTCACAGGGGCCATTCTACCCTGTCCTATCGGGTGGCTACAAGTCAGCATCGGCTCGATGGCCATGAGTTCTATTTTGTCATTTAATTCCACAAAGTCCTGTAATTTCATGTACCTTTATTTGTGTGTAATTGTATATTTTACATAACTGTATAGTGGTAAGGGACCATGCCACCCGAATTTACCATTTTAACAATGTTTTGTGTACAGTTCCCGGGTCATTACTTCTCTTCACTGAGTTGTCACTGGTGACCTTCACCACTGTTTATTCCCAAATGTTTTTCAGACACCCGGGAGCTCTTAAGCAGTAACTCCCATTCTCCCAGCAGCCCTGCAGTGTGCGCGCGCGCGCGCGCACACACACACACACACACACACACACACACACATCACTGAATGGAAGCCAACCCACAGGGACGCGGTAGGATAAGAGTAGAACTAGACCTTGGGGTTCTGAGCCTGTAGATCTACCGGAGCAGACAGCCGCATCTTTCTCCCTTGGCACAGTGGGTGGGTTCAAACTGCTGACCTGGCAGTTAGTAGCCTAATGGCATGCCCCACCATCCATTGCCAGTGCTCCTGGTAATAAGCTTTGGTCTCTCTGCACTTGCCTGCTCTGCCTATTCCATACACATGGGATCACACAGTATCTGGCCTTCGGTCTCTGGTTTATTTTCATTGACATACTGCTTCATGTTTCACTCGCGTAGCCGAACGTCCTTTCTCTCCACGGCTGCTTTACGGCCCGTCGGAGGTAGGTGCCATGGTGGTTTGCCCGTCTGCCTGTTGATGGGCACTCGAGTTGTTGCCCGTGGTGAGTAAGTGCTGGGAACACTGGTAGGCCGGCGCCTGTTTGAGTCCGTGTTCTGATTCCATCTGGATAGGCACACATGCCTAGGAGTGCTTTGCCGGGTCATGGGGCGATTTTATGTTTAGCTCTTTGGAGGCACTTGATCCTTTCCCACCGATCAGTCTGCCTGTCGTAAAGATGGTTGCGCAGCACAGTGAAACAAGCTTTCTCATTCTTTCTGATGGCTGTCGAAGACTCTAGTATGTGGATGTTCGATCAGTTTCCCAGTTCCCCTGGAGGGGAGGCAGACGGTTAACGAACTAGGCAGCTAATTGGAAAGGCTGAAGGGGTAAGGCCATCCAGAGGTGCCTCAGAAGAAAGGCCTGGGGAATCTCCCCGAAAAGTCAGCCCTTGAAACCTCCGTGGAGCACAGCTCGACTCTGACAGGCGTGATGTCGCCTCCAGGCAGCGCCGGCGCCGTGGCCGCCGGAGCGGTGTGCGTCTGTCTCACCAGCTTAACAGAAGCCCCGTACCATTAGCCATTAGGCTCTCTCGACTTCCCATCTTTTCCTTTTACAGACCAGGGCGCAGGGACACCCTGGCGTGGGGCTCTTTGTGCACAAGTGGCTCTATAAGGGTT